GGGGGGGGCGGGGTATCAAAGCTGTTTCATGCACATTTATAATATGCCGAAACCTTTTGAGTAATTGATCGCCTTCAACAGCCGATCTTGTAACTTTTCTATTGTACTGTAATCCGGTAATAGTAATATGTTGTAACATGTATGGGCTATTGGTAACCTAAAATATGAAATGTGAGATTAATGTGAGAAATACAAATTCAAGTTTGTTTTAAAATTTTACCTGTCAGAATCTGGACCATGTCTAGCAATCACCATTTTCAACCTTGATAAACCACCAACTGGAACTCTATCGCTTCCAGTAGTAAATTGAAGTAGTCTTCGTTGGCTTTCTGGTGGTAATGAATGCGCAACACGCCAGAAATTACGTATTGCTTTACTATCAACAGTGTAACCACCTTCATATTCCGTAGCGGCTTCCAATTCCGCGAAGTCAAAAACTTTGCTACCACAAACAAGCTATAAATGAAACATTAATTAGAAATAATTATTGATTAGAAGGAATTATTGATAAAAATTAATGTAAATGTTATACTTGTTCAATTTCCTCGGGTCTAAAAAGTAGTGCAAGTGGACTTTCATCCGTGACCATTTGAAATCCACGTCTAAATGCCTTAAATTGTCTTTCTACAGATTTATTAAGTAAAAAGTCCGCATAAAGATCTACAAATTCTTTTTTGTTTCCTTGTGTTACAAATATTTCGTCACCATTCGGTTTCAAATCATGGAAAGATATCGAACCGAAAACATCTCTGTGAAACAGCATATAAAATATTAATTATTGCTTATTAAATAATTGTTTTGTAATTTACACAACTTACTTGTGAGCCACTCTGAAAGTTTGCATAAATGTTTCTGCCATATCATCTCCAGTATAATCCATCAATTCCTTCAATGTTCGATATAACGTAGGACTCCAATCTTCTAAATCGGCGAAACATCCTTTTCTACCAAGCAATTTTCGATAAACTACCATAGAGAAACGTACATCTAATATTACGTTATTGTATATCGCTAGGCCAAGAACAACACCTATTAGCGTGAAATGTGCGTCACTTTCAAATGATGTTGGATTGAACCATGTCATTTGCGTATCTTCCTATAATTATAATTTAAAATATGATAATAGGTTAAATTATTTTTTCCGTAATTAAAAAGTATTTTTATGTTAATGGAAATTACTAAGTTACCTGAGTTGTAAACATTCCATAATCAGGATTGAAAATTTCTTCTACAATCAATTGGAAAAATTCTTTGGACACTCCACCCTCATCGACTCCTTGCTCACCTTCGAATTCAACGACTAATTGCTTCTTAAGATCAGATGGATTTTCTACCGCGATCATTTCCAATTCGACTAACGCATCATCTATTAAACGATCTCTCCTCACCTATTTTAAACAATTATCAATACAAGTCACAAAAGAAAATTGAAGTATGTACAAACCTTTAGTTTTAAATAGGGATTAGTAGGTTGTCCAACGACAGTTTGTAAAAAACTCATTCGGCGTTCACTATACATTCTAATACGATTATCATAATACAAGCCCAGCGTCTTTGTAGCTGGAGTGAGGATAAAAGCATAATTCATAAAACTAAATTTCATAGGTTCTTCGCTTTTATAGTATGCAAAATCCTTGTCCATTTCTATCGCATCACTAAGTGGTTCATTATAAAAATCCGTAAAAGGTATAAATGGTTTTCGTGCATCTAATGCAGTAATTCCTAATTCCTTAGCTAATGGATCCTGCAATTAATTATCGTTCTTATTAAAATTTATAAACGATATACAAACAAAGTAATTCAACATATTACAGGAATTTTTATAATTTCACCTGAGGAATTTGAGATAGAGATCTGCCAGATTTGTCGTTACTTGTAGATTCACAATCTTCATCTACGTTTAAGTCAGGTTCATCTAATTCACCAGCTAACATACTTGCATAATATAAAATTTTCATAACTTTCGTCGGAGCAGTAATAGTGTCCGCATCTTGAACACAATAATCCCGTGTAAAAGATCCACCTATTACCTGTATGGATGAAAAATTTTAAAAATAAAATATATTTTGATAATTTCAATTATGGTAAATATTGAAATTATACCTTGACAGTTATCAATTCTTGCAGAGCTTGTAAAATACTTGGAAGTCGAGATTTACAATGTTTAGCCCATACACGTGCTAGTTTAGCTTGTGCCACAATAGGGAAACAGCTCAATGCTTTACAAAGCATATGAAGGGCAAGTTCTAAATATTCACTGTTTCCAAGCATAGGAATTTCAAATACAATCAGGAATACATTTAATAAACTGTCCATATTATCCCATGGCATAATACGAAATACTCTCAAGTCTAGTTCAATATTATCTGCCAAAGTGACTAGTGCATTGACCAAAGCAGATTTAAACACTTCTCCTGAATATTAGAAAAATTGAAAATAATTCGTAACTATTAATTTTGTGAAATGAAATTTCATAAAATATTTTTTTACCTGGTAAAGACCAAAGAGCAGCAAAAGCTCGTCGCACAGCTGGTAAGTCAATGCTTGTATCATCATTATTAGGAACTATGGGTGATGGTTCACTGCTGTCTTCTTCTTTGTCTTCTCCTTGAATAGATCGAATTGCTTCTTTGTCCATATCACCAGGTGGCCTTAGTAGACTATCTGAAGCTCTATCAAGAAGAGCGGCCAAGGGAGAGTCATTTTTTACTGTTTTTTGAAAACTAAGACTCAGTGCCTTTGCACATGAAAATACCTCTCCCAATGTACGAATTAATAATGAATAAGATCCTTCTGATTTACATCTTTCTATTATATCCAACAATTTTGCTTCTGTAAGATATGGATCCTGCTTTCCTGTTGACAATAAAATAATTGCATACGTTTATCAAAATATATATAAGCAATATAGAACTATATATAGAAAGCTATTGTATATTTAACTATTATTATATATTATTTTAAGTATAATATATACTTATATATTATTTTAAGTTAGAAATAAATAACAAGAAGTGAGAATTAAATAGAATATTTATTAACATATACACAGCAACCACACATGAATTTTTAAATCTTTTTATAAAGTAGTTGTATTAGAAAGTATTGTTAAAGTTTTGAAATTCGTTTTGTGTATCTCTCTCTGTCTATGTATTTAAGATACAAATTGAGAACTAATAATTTTGTAACAAATTTAGAACAACATTTTTTATAAAATCTTTTCTTGGAGGAAGATTTTTTTTGAGAATAGTTACGTTTATGTTTCTTATCCATTTTATATGTTCTTTTCTTTGGTTTAACATTTGAATTGTTATAATTTGGAATATGAATGTTATACCTATGTAATATTCTCTGAAAAATTTCTTCATCTGATTGTATTAATTTATTTGAAATAGAATTATCATTGTAATCTGTTTTGAGAAATTGATATGAACCAGTATTCCTATCCATTGATAGAATAGAATGTAGAATAGGTGACTTTTCCTTTGAAATTGATTCCTCACAAACTTCAATATTATTTGGCAATTTGCTATTGAAAGAAACTTGAACACTGTTATCTTTTAAAGCTTGAGATGGAGGCATCAAATCATTTGTATCAACAGAAATATCCATTTTTACTGAGGATGTTAGAATGTCAATAGTTGTAGGAACAGGATTTATGTTGGAATTTGATGCAATACCTTCATCTGAACAAGTTGGATTCACACTTTTAACTGGTAAACTCTTAGCTAAAGATGCTGGGCCTGGTTCTAAAGTTGTTCGAGCTACTTTACTAGGTTGTGTTCCATCGCAAAGTCTTGCTTCTTGGGAAAATAATTGGATAGCTTGAGCTGCAGCTTGATTTGGAGTTAGATTTGTTACCTGTTGAAAACATAATTGCATTAGCAATAAAGAAGTCTTCCAATGTTTAGATAGCTTTCAAATTTATACTTTGCCACTTGATGCACAGTTTTGATTGTCACAATCTGGATTGCCACATCCATCAGTTAATTGATAAAAATATCGCTCGATCAACTTTTTGGCAACTGCACGCTTCATGTCGCTGCAAGGGCTCTTTGTTCCTCCCCTAATAATGTAATAACAGAATTGCAGGGATTACAATATTGTATTGTAAGAGATATTCTAAAACAAAATAAAAAGAGAAAAACTATTATTTAAGTATGTAACAAATTTATGCTAAACACTTTAATATTTTTTTTATTTCATGAGACACAGAAAGAACAATTACGAATTTGTTAACTCAAATTTATTACTATCCGTGTATTCCCGTTTCTGTAATGAACTGTAGAAACTTGAACGAAATCATAACCTATGATGTTTGATACATATGATTTTCTCGTAGGTTGTACACGTTTAAAGAATTTCGAATTCCGATAGTAATAGAATTGCGCAGAAATTCTCTGCCGCGTTAAATGCAAAATTAAGAATTTTGTCAGACGGATCCGGACATCGGAATCGATCGTTAAATCCAACGACAATGTCGACATAAACAAAAGAAGCGGATTTAATTAAATTAGGAGTACTTTCTGATACTTTGCGATTCATTCAATTAGGAGCACGCGATGATCGTGACACATCAATAATGACAGTTCAAGAAAAGAATCACTTTCCGAGGTCAGCAAGCGAATGGAGTCGTTGCACCAAAACAAAGCACGTTAAAAATAATCTAGCCTCGTAGATTCGTAACGTTATTATGTCTTGCAATATATACGTGTACGCAAACGGATACACGTTCACGGGAAAGCAATGATAACACGGGAAAAGCAAGCAAGGAGAGACAGCGACGAAGAAAGTTCTAGATGAGCGGTACGGAACATCGATATACACCTGGAAGCGTGATCTTCCCCAGGGTCCTCTTGGCCCTTGGCGTTCATAGACTGTGAATCTTCGAAATTTTGTCTCCTTTTCTTTGTCGGTCGTAACAAGAAATCTCACCACGACCGTTTCTCCCGCTTGTTTCTAAGTATCGTCGAGACACTTACACACACTACTACACTAAATTCAGTCGAAAGCTTTCTTATCGACGGTCTCGTCACACGAAATGCCCGAGTTGCAATGTTAATGCGTTTTTATCGCGTTATTACGCACTTATTGTGTGTACACTTTGGAATAGAACAGAAAAAAAAAGACGGAGTGAATAAATAGAAAAGTATTAGAAAAGGAGAGGGAGAGGAAAAAAGAGAGAGACGGAGGATGTAGCACGATATCCCGCTCGAGATATATTTGTCCGTAACTTGAAACGAATGTTTGATCGAGGTTAGGTGAACACCGTAGACGCGAGTACACAAACGTTGCAATGTCCGCTGATCGTGCGACTTGTCAAGCTCGCCACACACGAATTTTTCAAGTCAATGTTAAACACCGAGAGGGAGGGGAAAACAATTATTTCACGATTCCTTCCTGGTTGCTGTCTACTGTTCTGTACGGCCACGACCAGCTGCGATTATCGAGATTTCCGATTAATCGTTCGCGGCGATGTTTCTCGATTTATCGATAACTCGACTCACATCAGTGTAACTTGGATCACGCGTCAAGTAGGGCCGTTTCAATGCTTTTCACATTCATTTTTAGTGAGTATCAATATTGATTTTTTATGAATTGACGACGAATCTATCTGATATTAATCGCATTAACGAAATACAGTTAATAGAATTTATTCGTACGTTGCTATTTACATTGATTTGAATAATAATATTTGGCCGGGTTAGATTGACCGCGGATATACGTGAAAGCGGGAAATATAAATGTTTCTTACACGAAATGACTGTGCATATTTTTTGTTTCGCACTTCTTAATTGATCCAACGTTCTATTTTCTTCTTCAAACTTAGTTTATAAATTTTACACTCACTTTTACACTCCTGTTTAGTCACAAGTATTGTTTCAATGGATATTTCATTTTCCACTCCATTTTCAAACTTCATTCTTAATATTCTAAAAAGATATAAGAATTGATTAAAAAATGAAATAAAGATGAATAATGAATAATGACGAATATTCATTTCTTTTATTAGATAAGTATATTTCCTCGATCTACATATTTATTTCTCTATTATTAATTAAATTTCTCTATTATCAATTAGGTTAGATACGAAGGTTAAGTATATTTGGTTAGGTTCTTTTTTTTTTTTTTATTATCAAAACGTTTCATAATTCTCAGTGCTCAATCAAAGAACAATGTTTCCTTTTTTTATGGTTTAAGAGATTCAAAGGATTAGGATTTAAAAAGTCTGTAGAAAATACAGAATAAAATTCTGGCGAAAAATCCTATGCACGTATATTAACGGCGAAGTTTCTCAAAGAGAATATCGATTTCGTGCTAAATCTAGCATGCGTTATTGCGGACAGTACCGAATATAATTCCTTGGTCGATTTTGTGACAATGAGTGAGCGAACCTGGAACGGAGCAGAGAAGCAAAAAGTCAATGGAGTCTTTTGATAATTTTCATCGGGTTTTAGGGTGAATATAAAAGGGAAATTGAGCTTTCGGGATGGAACGAAGGTCTGAAACGAACAGGAAACCATTAGTTCACGGGGAAAAACGGTGCCAAGCGGTGCCATTTGGCCAGATATACAAATAACACCGTTTCTCCCGGTCATATACGATTATATACGTTTTGTTTGAACTAAGGATCATAATTATTGTAATTGTTATAATCGAAATTAAAAAAGTTATAATTAGGATCACGGATTTTTCATGCACATAAAAAGGCATATGCAATATATATATATATATATATATACATATATACATATACATATACATATATATACATATATATACATATACATATATACATACATACATATATATACATATATATACATATATATACATATACATATATACATATATA